CTTGCACGGTGATTTAGAAGAGGAGATCTATATGACACAGCCAGAAGGATACAAATATGGTGGTTATGAGAAATGGGTTTGTAAGCTGAACAAATCACTATATGGATTGAAGCAATCTCTGAGGCAGTGGTACAAACGATTTGATAGCTTTATGAGGAGGAAAAAGTATACTAGAAGCAAATATGATCATTGTGTGTATTTGCAAAAGCTCAAAGATGGATCTTTCATTTATCTTCTCTTGTACGTTGACGATATGTTGATCGCTTGGAAGAGTCAAAAGGAGATAGACAAATTAAAGGCTCAGTTGAATCAAGAGTTTGAGATGAAAGATCTAGGTGAGGCCAAGAAGATTCTTGGTATGGAGATAAGCAGAGATAGACAGAGAGGGAATCTTTGTTTAACACAGAAGCAATATCTGAGAAAGGTATTACAATGTTTTGGCATGAATGAAAATACCAAACATGTAAGTATCCCATTGGCTTCTCATTTGAAACTTAGTTCTCAATTATCTCCTAAAACTAACGAAGAACGAGTGTATATGGCAAAAGTTCCATATGCTAATGCAGTTGGGAGCTTGATGTATGCAATGGTGTATATGCGTCCTGATATTTCACAAGCAGTTGGAGTTGTGAGCAGGTACATGTATGATCCTGGAGAAAGACATTGGCAAGTTGTGAAATGGATTCTACGATATCTCCAACAAACCGTGGATGTTGGTTTAGTTTTTGAACATGATGAAGCACTTGGTCAGTGTATGGTTGGATATATTGATTCCGATTATGCTGGTGATTTGGATAAGCGTCGATCAACTACTGGTATTTGTTTACTCTTGCTAAAGCCCCAGTAAGTTGGAAGTCTACATTGCAATCAACGGTGTCCTTGTCTACTACAGAGGCAGAATACATGGCAGTTTCAGAGGCTGTAAAGGAAGCAATTTGACTTAACGGGTTGATGGAAGACTTGGGAGTTGTTCAAAGTCACATTAGTCTCTATTGTGACAGTCAGAGCGCTATTCACTTAGCAAAAAATCAAGTCTACCATTCAAGGACTAAGCATATCGACGTGAGGTATCATTTTGTGAGGGAGATCTTTAAAGAAGGAAAGATTCTACTTCAAAAAATTGCGAAATCAAAAAAATCCTACAGATATGATGACCAAGGTGGTAACGGTAATCAAGTTCAATCATTGTTTGAACTTGATTAACATCCTGAAAGTATGAACACCTTCGGGTGTGTGGCGCTACAAATTTGGGGAGTTGAAGAAGTTGAGTAGGCTTGGTAATTTCAAGCCAAGGTGGAGATTTGTTAGATTTGTCTAGAAATTAAGTTGACAAGTTGGAAATTTCATCTTGGTTGGTGGCCAAACTTTGAACATGTGAATTTCATATTTGGTGGCTAACTTGTACACATTGGAAAATTCTTTGGTAGGTGGCCAAACTTTGAACATATTGTTCTTGAAACTTAACTATAAATAGGCCTAAGTATTTCCATTAGAAATCATCCCAAAAACAAGTTCTCTCTTCCTCTTGTATTCTTCATTCTCCCACTCTGGGAATTCCAAAGAATTCCATTTGTTGTAATATTGGCGATATAGTGAAGTTATCATCCGGTGTGGTGCCTGAGGAGTAGACGATATTCTCGTCGAACCTCGTAAATTTGGTGTGTTCTCTCATTTATTGTTTTTTATTTGGTTCTTTTCCATTGTGTTTCAATATTCAATAGTTTGACAGGTTTATCCGCTGTGCAACCTTTGGTGGTTTTAATCTTGACATTTTAGGTCAATTTTAAAACTATGTTCGTGTGGGAAATAACCTGTTTTCCCCAACAGATACAATATATAAATTACATGGTCAACCTTTGTGATTATTTTAGACAAAAACAGAACTTTCACAAGTCTGTTATGGAAAAAGTTCTTGAAATAGTTAAGGACTTCTACTATATTCAACAGTGCCTACCATTATGAGATAGATGGTCAGATAAAGAGAGTAAATCAATGCCTAAAACAATATTTAAGGGCTTTATGCTTTTTGAAGCCAAAGGATTGGGCTAAATGGCTTCCACAGGTAGAGTGGTGATATAACACTAACTAACACACTATCATCATAACAACCCCATTTGAAGCTATGTATGGATATAAACCCTCATTACTATCCCCTACTATAGATTCATCATAACAATAGGCTCAAGACATCATTCAAAAGCAGGATCGACTAAACAAAGTATTAAAGGAAAATCTCTTGAGAGTTTAGTATCGCATGAAGCAAAATGCAGATAAAAAAAGAATTGAAAGACAATTTCAAATTGGGGATGAAGTATACCTGAAACTTCAACCATATCGCCAAACATCAGTAGCACTTCAAAAGAACTTAAAGCTCATTGCAAGATTTTATGGACCCTACAAAGTAATAAAAAAATTGATTTACTTGCATGTTGTTTACAGTTACTTCAAACATCAAAAATTGATTTTGTGTTTCATATCAGTCTACTGAAGAAAAGGATTGGTTCTCATAACGTTACCTCTTTGGACCCTTTTGAGGTTGGAAGTGATGATCAGTTACGCATGTATCCAGCCATGGTTCTTGACAAAAGGGTTGTAAAAAGCAACAATCATGCAGTCACTCAACTTTTGATCCAATGATCGAACTTGGAACCTGATAATTCCACTTGGGAATATTAAACGATCTTGAAGTCATAATTTATTGACTTCGATCCTTGGGGACAAGGACCCACTACAAGAAGTTTAAATGGTGAATTAGGAAATTTAGGGTTTAAAGGCACACAAAAATTAGAGGTTATTAAAATTAGGGATAATGTTCAGCTAGAAAACGATGATTGTCAAAATGATAGTGTGAAAAATACATTAATGGGGAGTAAAAGGAACAACGTCGTTTTGATAGAGGCTAATAAGGAGTTGACTGACAGAAAGGGGATGAAACCTAAAGAAGCCATGTAAACATGCCAGGGGCTTGTTCAACATCCTTGAGAAGGAAGAGATATATAAAGGAGGATTTACAAGTAACATAAAAAATTGTCAAAGCCTACAACTAGCAGTAACCAATATAGTATCTATATAGCACAAAAGGAATCTACTGATGTACTAAGTAATCTATGAAAAATCAATGAAAAATCTGAATTTTTTTTACCCATTCTTCTATTTTTAAACCTCTTATCTTCAAACATAACAAATTCTCTACTTAAACTAAAAGGAGATGAAACATGATCAATCAATCAATTCAATCACTTGTACCCAAACATTTAATTTGGGATCTACAGCAAATTGAACAGTTCCCCACGGAATTCGTCACACCGTGGGATATAATTTTTTAATGGGTCGTGTCAGGTGGGCCCCACACCTGGAATTAAAAAAATTATATCTTGAGGGACTCGTCACGCCAATTTTTTTTTAATTTTTAAAAGAAAATTAAAAAAATAATATTTACGTGACGAGTTCCAACGACAATAATTTTGACTTTTTTTATCGTTGGTAAATGATCGATTTTTTTATTAAATTTCAATGGAACTCGTTACCCTTGTGTGATGAGTTCCAACGTTTATTTTCAGTTTGAAAAAACTAGCCGTTGGGTAGGGTAGTATAAATAGAGTTTTGGGTTGGATGGATTTTTCACTTGTAATTAAACATTCTACTGAAAGCAAAAACTTTTATATTGAAGAATTTATGTTGAAATGACATCAAGAGATAAATGTTACGTCTTGATGAAGTTCATATTTAATCGATCGAGTTGACAATAGTAAGTTTAATTTGTTTTATTTCATTTTAGTTTTGAAAAAATTGTAGTATTAATAATAATTATTATATGTAATTGTATTAAATAATTTATTTTCAAATTGTAGCGAGAATAACAAATCATTCGTCATCATCGAGGAATGACGAATGAAGAGTCATATCAACGGATGGTGATATATCTTTCACAATCCGGATTATATGGAGCGACTTTTCTTCGCAGATTTAAGGTGATACTGACATTGATATCGACGTTGATTGAGTGATGGAGGTCCGAAGTTGGTACGCGACATCTTCCAAAGTTATCGTCACTTCACCGTAAGGTAAATGAAACGTATGTGTTTCGGGCCTCCATCGCTCAATCAAAGCCGATATCAATGCCGACATCACCTTAAATTCGTGAAAAAATGTCGCTTCATATAATCCGGATTGTGAAAGATATATATTATCATTCGCTGATGTGGCTCTTCATTCGTCATTCCTCGATGACGAATGGTTCGTTCTTCTCGCTATGATTTGAAAATAAATTATTTAATTCAATTACACAAAATAATTATTATTAATACTATAATTTTGTCAAAACTAAAATGAAATAAAACAAATTAAACTTACCATTTTCAACTCGATCGACGAAATATGAACTTCATCAAGACATAACATTTCATCTCTTGATGCCATTTCAACACAAATGTTTTTGTTCTCAATAGAATGTTTGATTACAAGTGAAAAATCTATCCAACCCAAACCTCTATATATATTACCCTACCCCAATAACTAGTTTTTTCAAACTAAAAATAGTCGTTGGAACTCGTCACACTGGCGTGATGAGTTCCATTGAAATTTAATAAAAAATTCGACCGTTTACCAACGATCAAAAAATTCAAAATTATAGTCATTAGAACTCGTCACACCGGCGTGACGAGTTTCATGGAGATAAAATATATATTTTTTTAATTTTCTTTTAAAAAATTTAAAAAAATTAGCATGACAAGTCTCTCAAGGTATATATTTTTTTAATTCCGAGTGTGAGGCTCACCTAACATGACCTATTAACAATTATATTTTATAGAACTCGTCACGCCGATGTGATGAATTTTGTGGAGATTATTTAATTTAGTGTACATCCCAAATTAAATGTTTGGGTAACCTAAAGACTAAATAATTTAGCCGGTTGCCCGAATAGGCCAATTTGACCAAAGAAAGTCCCCCACTTTTAATTTTCTTGTTCACTGCTTATAACTTTGGGGTTGGTACAGTACTGCTTTTGTTTTGGTCAGTTCATCAGTCTATATGAATAAAGAAAACCCCAAAAAGAATTAAGCTACACTCACATTTCTACACAGCTCTTGCCATTGTTTCACTTTGAAGGAGCACTCTACTCCTTCTTCTTCTTTCAAGAATCGCCATTGAAGATGCCTAGACCGGGTCCAAGGCCTTATGTTTGTGAGAGAAGAGCTTGGCACAGTGATAGACACCAACCCATGCGAGGCTCCCTCATTCAAGAAATTTTCAGGTTAGTTTTCCATTTCTTTCATGTATTCAAAGTTGATTTTTTTAAATGTATATATATATTTTTTGGTTTAGAGTTGTAAATGAGATTCATAGCTCTGCAATTAAGAAAAACCGGGAATGGCAAGAGAAGCTCCCTGCTGTTGTTTTAAAAGCTGAAGAAATAATGTATTCCAAAGCCAATTCTGAGGTATTTTTTTTTGGTGCTTGTGTTTAGTTTTAAAATGAAAAAGAACACGCCTTGAGCTTTGTGTTTTTATGGTGTTTGTATATTTGCACAGGCTGAGTATATGGACCTCAAGACTCTGGGGGATCGAACAAATGATGCCATTAACACAATCATTAGACGTGATGAGAGTACTGAAACTGGAGAGCTTCTTCTACCTTGTATTGAAGGTACTGTTTTTGCTTTGCATGATGATTTAATCTGTTTGATTTTGAAGCTAAATGTGCATATTTGCAAATTGGAATTCTTTTGTTGCTTGATTCTGGCTTTAATCATGATAAAAAGTGTTGCTTGATTCTGCCTTGTTGTTGGTTAGCTGCTCTGAATTTGGGCTGCAAGCCGAGAAGAATTTTGAGGAGCCAACGGAATTGTAACCTGCGGTGTTACCTTAATCCGGTACCTCAAGAAGCTGGCAACATTGCTCGAGGAAATGTCACAGAGAACTTGCATTGCATGTCTACTTATTCCGGCTTCATGAAACCAACAACAACGATGAATGCAACTCATTTGGGGTTTGCATCTGAGAATGGTTATCTTCCTAGTAACAATCCGTGCTTACCTAAAGAGAAGTATCCTCCTAATTTGTATTTGTCCTCCCTTCTATTCTACGGAAACCACCGTAGATTCGAAGAGCCACATCATGGTTTCGGGGTCTTCCCAAAGTTAATTTCCAATACGGTGGAGCATGCTAAGACGGGTTACATCCATAACTTTGTGGATTCTTCGAATAAGATGAACCAAACAGATGCACTAAATGCTTCTATGAACCCACATGAATTTGCCTGTGATCTATCATTGCGGTTGGGCTCCCTTTCAACACCTTGCTCAAGTGTTAGAAATGGTCAGCTTCGGGAAACAGGAAAAAGCAACTCCACCTTGCTCAATGGAGATGATCGCTTGAACTCAACCTCAAACGAAGGGAGCTTTGAAGGTGATTCCATGAACGTAGATGCAACAATGAGAAAGCGAAAGGCGATATATGGTCTGGCAACTGATCAGCAATTTCGTTTGCCTTCAAAGCTTCCCTACGGTCATTTAACCGGAAAAATGAAAACCGCAGAATCCTAGACTGCCCCGTAAATCCCCTTAACATTGGCTTTGGTGAGTATATGTGCTGCTGAGAAATCTCTTTTCCTTTTTTCACAATCTTTTCTGTAGTTAATAGATTTTGCGTTGAAGTGTGCGAAAATGTTTGCAAGAATGTAAGGTGTAAATGTTTTGAGTGAAGTTTCAATTAGATGAGCTGATCTTTTCGTCTTACATGTTGACTGTTATTGCTTGTAAAACTCTATATACATATAAATATATATATATAATTAGGGACATAACCAAAACTAAATATTTATTGGAGCCGGAATATTATACTATTTAAGAAAAATATAAAGATCTATTAGGTATTTAAACTCGAAATTCAGCATTAACAAGCGACCTTAGTGATTAAGGGGATTGTTGTTATCCTTGAGGTCCCGAGTTCAAGCATTGCGTATGTAGGGGTATGAGCGTTCATTGTCAAATAGTTGAAAGTCTTTGTACATATACTACCTTGTATTCACCTTAAATTTATAATAAAAAACTCAAAATTCACAAGATCACTTCTAATTTATCTAATATCTAAACTTACAATGACCTAAATTGTAATTATACTAAAAATTTGAGAACATGTACTTATCATTCTTTAGTTCGACCATTACTTGATTAAATATTTAATAAATTTTTATATTTTTAAATTTAAATATTTATTTTTATATGAACCAAAATACTATTAAATCATGATTAAATATTTAATAAATTTTTATATTTTTTAAATTTAAATATTTATTTTTATATGCGATGCCCCTTAAACCCTAAAAGAGCTTCGTCCTTGTATATAACCCCATGATAAGCTATTCCTTGTATAATATTCCAAAGGATGAGAAAGGTCCATAAAATAATTTATCTGATAACTAATTTGATTGGTTGGTTTTGGATTAAGTATGGCTAAACCTGATGACTACTACATGAAAATCTAAAAAAAGATACATTTTTGTTTGTATGAGTAGGGGACAAAGGTCTCTTTACAAAAACCTAACCATTATTATTGAGTCCATAATCCATATGCTTTGAGTGTCGTATGTGGACCTTGTATACTTGTTCAAATGAGGAAAGAGTGGGAATTATTAATGAACGACTGTGGGTGTGGGGGAGCTTCTTCTCAGTTGAGTACTGATGGGGTCATATTTTAATCTTTTTCGGTTACATATCAACGGTAGCGGATTTAGAAATTTAAAAATGCAGTTCAAAATTTTAATAGATATTTAAATTTTTTTATTTTTTTCATTTTTTTTTAACATATTAAACTAAATTTCATTTTTTATGAATAATAGGATGCACTTGACCCCTAAGGGAGTGTTTGGTTCATGGATTGTGGGATTCCCATGAGATGAGAATCCTATATTCCCATGTTTGGTTGGCCGGGAATCTCATTCCCGGTAATGTTTTATTACCAATAGTAGATTTTTTTGGGTATATTACCCGGAATGTCATTACCTCCATTCCCTTAGGTATTGTAACATTACTGACGTTTTGAACTAAAATGCCCTTAAATTTTTATTTTTTTTTCAAAAATATCATTATTCTGTCATTGAATAATAAAAATTCTACGAAGGTTAAATTACAAATTTATCCTTAAATTATTTTAGATTTACAAAAAAAAAGTCTATAATTAAAATTTTATATGAAGTTCAGGGGTTAATTTTTTTTTACCCTTTCATTAAACCTTTTTTATATTTTTAATTTTGTAAAAAAAAATTATATAAATATTATGAATTTAATTTTTCAAAGAAAATATATAAATATTTTACAATTTATAATATTATACAAATATATAATAAGTACAATTTGGTCAAATATATATTCCAATAATCTTTTATTTCTTTAACCAAATACGGTAATCTTACATTCCTGCTAAACCAACCAAACACAAAATACAACATTCCCAGTAATCATATTCCTTAGTAATCTTTTATTCCCACTGGTAATCCTACATTCCTTGAGCCAAACGCACCCTAAGGATTTAGTGCATCCTCTACTTCATACCAAGTTGAATCGGATTTGATATAGTATTCTTTTGGTACTATTTTTTTTAACTATAAGATTCGAATTTGAAACTGTATTCGATAGCTATCAAAATATCAAATTTTATTACACAATTAAGCAAACGATGATGGTTTAAAGTTGCAACCTTGATTGTGGCAAGTCCCTATCTACATCTACATGAGAGGTATTGATGAGTAATCACAATGCTGAAGGGTGAAAGAAGGTCGAACTCTTGTTTTGGTCCGTCTATTATTAAATTTGAAGTTTTGCTTCTATATTTTCATTTAATCGACAATTTTCTAATTAAATAGCGTTAATTATTATAAATAAAATAAAATAGATTGAGACTGTCGTTCTAATGAATTCTGTAATATTTTTTTTGAATTAATAAATTAAATATTGATGTTTATATTAAAATTGACCATGTTTGTTTGCTAAGGAATCGAATGGAAGGACAAAGCCTTCGAAGTTCGAGACATTAGGCTATTTCAGCTTTCTACTAAGGTTGTAAAGGAGTCGAGTCGAGCTCTAATACTGTTAAGTTTGATTCGACTCAAAAATTTTAAAATGAAGTTCGACTTGATTTGAAAACTCGCGAATTTAAAATTTTTAAACTCGACTTAAACTCGAAATCATGAATTGAAACTCGTAAAAGCTCGAAATAAAAAAAATCTTAAATTTAACTAGATTGAAGTCCCAAACTCAACTCGAACCAGAACTTTAAATACATGAAAACCTTATATTGTATTTTTTAAAAAAAAAAATCAACACATAAATATTAATATTATTAATAATTTATTTATTTAAAATAAAATTTTAATCTATTCTATTTTCAAGTTGCTCACTAGCTTTTCGAATCGGATGTCAAATAGCTAATTTCGGTTCGTTAAGAACTCAAGTCGAACTCGATTGAATCTAGTCTATTAAAATAAAGTATTAATCAAACTTTGACCGAATTATTCTTGAACAATTCACATTTATCTCGTCTTATTTACAATCATACTTTCCACATGAGCAAAAAGTTGTTTATAGTTTAATAATTTCAACATAAAAAAGGAAACAACCGCGGGGATCAGTACCGATTTTTTCTAAATTAAAGGACAGGGATTAAGTCCCAAAAATTTAGCATAGTACAGGGATGAAAGCCCATTATTTGACCAATATCGTTTGAACAGTTGACCACTATTTTGACTTTCTTAAACTTACAGTGAACTCAACCGCGGACAACCACCACTCTTTACCATCGAAAAATCGAACCTTTGTTTTCCCGCAGGAAAACAACAATTTTGAACCAACCACCCATTTTGAAAATCTTCAGAGGACGATGAGCTCTTCGGCAAAGTTAAGTCCCTCATTTTCGTCAATCTCAGCTTTATCTTCATCTGAATCCATATTCAAATTTCCCTCCTTTTCACAACGGTCATCTCTTAGAGTTCGAATCTCGCGCCAAGCCATTCACCGCTTGTTCTTCCACTACTATCCACAAAGTTTCAGGTTCTGAAATTTTGAAAGAAAGAAAGAAACCGCCAAACAGGTATTTAAAGTCCTAATCTTTTTTTGACTAATTATGTTTATGTTTTCAATTTTCAATTGCAGGAGAAATTCGCCGTTGCAGTTTCTGTAGGAGAAGAGGGCTGGCTTTCACTGCAACGCTGCCGTTTCTTCTTCCCCTGCATGAATTTGTAGATTGTGTTGGCGCTAAGGCGGTTGAGTAAGTTATAACTAAATACTGCAAACAACTAGATTCCCGTTTGTTATTGTCCCCCCCCCCCCATTCTAGCGGTAGATTTTCAATTATGAACGATATTCTTTTGGTCTATCCTTCTGGTCTAACTTCAATTTGTAAGGATTTGGTCTCGTACATTACGAAAATTGAGAAATTAGTCCAGTTGTTGGTGAACAAGTCAAATTGAAATGCTTATTTTTGCTTAATTTACTGTGTATAATAAATTGCTGAATTGTTACTACTTCCTTGCATATATAAATCGTTGAATTACTGATTTTCAAGTCTTCAATTTAAGTCTGCAATTAGTCTAGTTATTGGTGAACGAGTGAATTGTTAGATTTAGCAAAGTATAAGGACCAAGTTAAGACGAATTAGAGTGACTAACTATACGACAACAGAGAGGTTTGACTCTCTAATTTGTTAGGGTTGGTCCTTGAAACTTGCTGATTTCTTGTGTACATATTGTGAGTTATACTTTTCAAGTTTGCAGTTTAACAACAATGCTAAACAATATTATTGAATTGGACTATATTTTTAGTTTTCATGTAGTCCGAGGACCATGTTATGACTAATTATAGGGATTGGACTAACTTCTTAGTTTCGTTTGAGGGATGGAATTCGTAATTATACTTTTTATTTATTGATAATTGAAGGTCAGGTCAAAGCGAGTATATGCGTATAAAGGAAGAGATAAGTAAAGTTGTAACCAAGGGAAAAGCAGCCGGTGTTCTTCGTTTAGTATTCCATGATGCTGGAACCTTTGAAATGAATGAAAATTTAGGTACATAATTTTCCCACATTACATAATAATAGAAAATCTGAAGGATTTAAGCTTGTTTTAATGTTACCTGCACTCCTTTTTAATCGTTTTCGGAAGGTGTTATGAATGGTTCTATAGTTTATGAACTCGAAAGGCCCGAGAATGCAGGTCTCAAGAAGTCTGTGAAGGCACTATCTCTATCTGCTCTTCGTAATGCAGAGCAATGTATTTATATGTAGTTTTGGCTTTTGCTTTCCTCTTTTTAAGTTGTAACACTTCAAATGGATGCATCGTTGTTTTAGGTTCTAGAGAAAGCAAAGAAAGAAATCGATGCAATACGTTCGGGTTTTTTCTGCAAATATCAGATGAAAAGATTTTGATGGAAATGAATGGTTATCGTCATGCTAAGATGTTGTGTATCTTTGGTTTTCTGTTGTTAGTATCATGGGTGGACATGATTGGTGTCGCTGGAGCTGAAGCTGTTTCTGTTTGTGGAGGTCCAAAAATCCCAGTTACGTTAGGCCGACTGGATTCCGGGTGAGCACCTAGTTCGGATCATA